ACTGGATCTTCTAGCACAGTGTTTTAGCTCTGATAAAAGACTGACCCTTGTGTTTCCTGACTGGTAGACAACTCCCAGCAGGGGCTGAGAGGCACCTCATACAGGAGAGCTCTGGCTGGCATCTGGCAGGTACCCTTCTGGGACGAAGCTCCAAGGGAAAGAAACAAACAGCAGTCTTTGCTGTTCTGCAGCCCCTGCTGGTGATTCCCGAGCAAGCAGGGTCTGGAGTGGACCACGAGCAAACTCAAGCAGACCTGCAGCAGAGGGGCCTGTTAGAAGGAAAACTAACAAACAGAAAGAAGTAGCATCAACATCAACAGACTGTCCACTCAGAGACCCCATCCAAAGGTCACCAACTTCAAAGACCAAAGGTAGATAAATCCACAAAGATGAGGCAAAACCAGTGCAAAAAGGCTGAAAATTCCAAAAACCAGAACACCTCCTCTCCGCCAAGGGATCACAACTCCTCACCAGCAAGGGAACAAAACTGCACAGAAAATGAGTTTGATGAACTGACAGCAGGCTTCAAAAGGTGGGTAATAAGAAACTTCTCTAAGCTAAAGGAGCACGTTCTAACCCAGTGCAAGGAAGCTAACAACCTGCAAAAAAAAAAAGTTTGATGAAATGCTAACTAGAATAACTGGTTTAGAAAAGAACATAAATGACGTGATGGAGCTGAAAAACACAGCATGAGAACTTCATGAAGCATACACAAGTTTCAATAGCCAAATCAATCAAGTGGAAGAAAGGATATCAGAGATTGAAGATCAACTCAATGAAATAAAGCTAGAAGACAAGATTAGAGAAAAAGTGAAAAGAAATGAACAAAGCCTCCAAGAAACGTGGGATTACATGTAAAGACCAAATCTAAGTTTGATCGGTGTACCTGAAAATGATGGGGAGAATGAAACCAAGTTAGAAAACACTCTTTAGGATATTATCCAGGAGAACTTCCCCAACCTAGCAAGGCAAGCCAACATTTAAATTCAAGAAATAAGTAGAATACCACAAAGATACTCCTCGAGAAGAGCAACCCCTGTCTGATTCACAAGGGTTGAAATGAAGGAAAAAATACTAAGGGCAGCCAGAGAGAAAGTTCAGGTTACCCACAAAGGGAAGCCTATCAGACTCACGGCAGATCTCTTGGCAGAAACTGTACAAGCCAGAAGAGAGTGGGGGCCGATATTCAACATTCTTAAAGAATTTTCAACCCAGAGTTTTATATCCAGCTAAACTAGGCTTCATAAGCAAAGGAGAAAATCCTTTAAGGACAAGCAACTGCTGAAAGGTTTTCTCACCACCAGGCCTGCCTTATGAGCTCCTGAAGGAAGCACTAAACATGGAAAAGTATAATCAAATTGTAAATACCATCAACACTATGAAAAAACTGCATCAACTAACAGGCAAAACAAAGAGCTAGCATCATAATGGCAGGATCAAATTCACACATAAAAATATTAACCTTAAAAGTAAGTAGGCTAAATGCCCCAATTAAAAGACACAGACTGGCAAGCTGGATAAAGAGTCAAAATGCATCAGTGTGCTCTATTCAGGAGAACCAGCTACAGAACCTAATAGATATCTACAGAACTTTCCATCACAAATCCGCAGAAAATACATTCTTTTCAGCACCACATCACACTTATTGTAAAACTGAGCACATAATTGGAAGTAAATCACTCCTGAGTAAATGCAAAAGAACAGAAAACATAACAGTCTCTCAAACCACAGTGCAATCAAATTAGAACTCAAGATTAAGAAACTTACTCAAAACTGCACAACTATATGGAAACTGAACAACCTGCTCCTGAATGACTACTGGATAATGAATAGAAGGCAGAAATAATGATGTTCTTTGAAACCAATGAGAACGAAGACACAAAGTACCAGAGTCTCTGGGACACATTTAAAGCCGTGTGCAGAGGGAAGTTTTTAGCATTAAATGCCCACAAGAGAAAGGAGGAAAGATCTAAAATTGACATCCTAATGTCACAATTAAAAGAACTAGAGGAGCAAGGACTAACAAATTCAAAAGCTATCAGAAGACAATAAATAAGATCAGAGCAGAAATTAAGGAGATCAAGACACAAAAAACCTTTCAAAAAAAATCAGTGAATCCAGGATTTTTGAAAAGACTAATGAAGTAGATAGACTACTAGCTAAACTAATAAAGAAGTAAAGAGATAAGACTCAAATAGATTTAATAAAAATAAAGAGGATATTACCACCAACCTTATACTACAAACTACCATCAGAGAATACATAAACACCTTTCTGCAAATAAATCAGAAGGTCTAGAAGAAATGGAAAATTCCTGGACACTTACACCCTCCAAAGACTAAACCAAGAAGTTGATTCCTTGAATAGATCAATAACAAGGTCTAAAATTGAGTCAGCAATTAATAGCCTGCAAACCCAAAAAAGTCCAGAATTAGATGGGTTCACAGCTGAACTCTACCAGCGGTACAAAGGAGATCTGGTACCATTCCTTCTAAGACTATTCCAAATAAAAGAGGGAATCCTCTCTAACTCATTTTATAAGAGCTTATAAGAGCTCCTGAAGGAAGCACTAAATCTCTTACAAGGATGATACCAAAATCTGGCAGAGCCACAACTAAAAAATAAAATTACAGGTCAGTATCCATGATGATCATTGATGTAAAAATCCTCGGTAAAATACTGGTAAACCGAATCCAACACCACATCAAAAAGCTTATCCATCACAATCAATTTGGCTTTACCCCTGGGATACAAGGCAGGTTCAGGATACTCAAATCAATAAACATAATCCATCACATATACAGACACAAAGACAAAAACCATAGGATTATCTTAATAGATGCAGAGAAGGCCTTCAACAAAATTCAACAGGCTTTATGCTAAAAAATAAACTAGGGGTCAATAGAACATATCTCAAAATAATAAGAGCTATTTATGACAAACCCACAGCCAGTATCATACTGAGTGGGCAAAAACTGGAAGCATTCCTTTTGAAAACTGGCACAAGACAAGGATGCCCTCTCTCACCACTCCTATTCAACATAGTATTGGAAGTTCTGGCCAGGGCAATCAGGCAAGAAAAAGAAACAAAAGATATTCAATTAGGAAGAGAGGAAGTCAAATTGTCTCTATTTGCAGATGACATAATTGTATATTTAGAAGACCCCATCGTCTCAGCCCATAATCTCCTTAAGCTGATAAGCAACTTCAGCAAAGTCTCAGGATACCTAATCAATGTGCAGAAATCACAAGCATTCCCATACACCAATAACCAAACAGCCAATTCATAAGTGAACTCCCATTCATAGTTGCTGGAAAGAGAATAAAATACCTAGCAATACAACTAACAAGGGATATGAAGGACCTCTTCAAGGAGAACTACAAACCACTGCTCAAGGAAATAAGAGAGGACACAAATGGAAAATATTCCATGCTCATAATTACAAAGAATCAGTATCATGAAAGTGGCCATACTGCCCAAAGTAATTTTTAGATTCAATGCTATCCCCTTCAAGCTACCATTGAGTTTTTTTACAGAATTGAAAAAAACCACCTTAAATTTCATATGGAACCAAAAAAGAGCCTGCATAGCCAAGACAATCATAAGCAAGGGGGAAAAAAAGAAAAAAGCTGGAGGCACCATGCTACCTGACTTCAAACTATGCTACAAGGCTACTGTAATCAAAACAGCATGATACTGGTACCAAAACAGAGATATAGACTAATGAAACAGAAGAGAGGCCTCAAAAATACTGCCATACATCTACAACCATCTGATTATTGACAAACCTGACAAAAATAACAGTGGGGTAAAGGATTCCCTAAATGTTATTGGGAATACTGGCTAGCCATATGGAGAAAACTGTAACTAGACCCCTTCCTTACACCTTATACAAAAATTAACTCCAGATGGATTAAAGATTTAAACATAAGACCTAACACCATAAAAACCCTGGAAGAAAACCTAGGCAGTATCATTCAGGACATAGGCATGGGCAAGGACTTCATGACTAAAACACCAATAGTAATAGCAGCAAAAGCCAAAATAGACAAATGGGATCTAAGTAAACTAAGGGGCTTCTGCACAGCAAAAGAAACTATGATTAGAGTGAACCGGCAACCAACAGAATGGGAAAAATTGTTTGTAATCTTCCAATCTGACAAAGGGCTAATATCCAGAATCTATAAAGAACTTAAATTTACAAGAAGAAAACAACCCCTTCATAA